AAACGAGCAGACCACGCTCCGCTCCCCCCCCGCCATCTTCCGTCTCCGCCGGGGCGGGCTTCCGTCACAGGGAGATGACGTGACCGCGGCCCTTCTCCCGCCTTAAACGGGCTCAGCATAAACTGGGAGAGCTCCGACATCTGCTCACAGCGAGAGGAGAAAACTCCTCAGCGAGACGGAGCAGGGTTTCTATGGGGGAGGGAGAGGAAGGATAAAAGGTGCGCAGAGTGTTTATATTGGGGGCTGGCCCTTTAAGAGTCCCTTCTGACGTCATCGCGCGGCGCCGCGACAGCCCCTGCCGGACCTTCACCGAGTGTGAGAGGGAGGGGGTCGGGATGGAACGTGAGGTGGCGGAAGGATACAACCCCCCCGGGAAGGGGGTGTGTGGGTGAGAAGGCCCTGCCTCCCTCCCTCCCTGGGTCGGCTGCGGGAGGGTTTGGGGGGCAGCGAGGCCCCCCCCACCGCTATGGCCCCCTCAGCAGTGCCCGGCGCGGCCTCGGCGCGGGGAGGAGGGGGGGGTGTTTGTCCCAGAATAAACGATATTGGGGTCACCTCCAGTGAGAGGGCCTGGATAACATCCCTAGGGGAGGCCCCAAAAAAGGCGGGGAGCCTGGCAGGGTAGCCATGGGCGACGTCGCGCAAGTGGCATCGAGAAGGGGCAGGCTTCGGCCAGAGTTCGGGTTTAGCACTGGTTCCTGTCACTATTCACAGCTTCCCTACGATGAGCGGTGAGGCTCCCCCGGGCCTGGAAGGCAGGGTCCGGAAAGCACTGCGAAAGGTCTTCGGGTTTGAGTCCTTCAAGACTTCCCTGCAGGAAAACGCGACCATGACTGTGGCGAGAGGTGAGGCTCAGCATCGGAAAGATGTGAAACATGTCTGGTTTTCCGTCTGCCTCTGGGGGTGATACTGTAGGAGTTGGTATCATGCCCGTTTTGAGAAGACACATCACCTGGACTAGGCGGTATCACCTGGCCCCCCAAGCCCCCCTCTGCTCTGAGATCATTTCAGTGGTGTAGGAGCACAAGCACATGCTGCACACAAGCGCTCTGAGCACGGCTTTGCCCTGCCTGGTCTCCTTTGCATTTGTTTTGTAACACCACTATTGCATCAACCAGGAAATAGGAAAAGTTAAAGTGCAGTATTGTTGGTATCTCCTCTGGAGGCATCTGCCAGCACGTTTATGGTCAGATGAGGTCAAAACTCTTTACATTTATACATTTTCAGAGTAAACCTGTCTATGTGTTAGAGATGATATCAGTAAGAGACTTGGTTTCCTGGCATAGTTTGCATCTGTTCTTTGAACCGTGGCCATTATCAGAAACATGGTTTTGCTGGCGTTAACGTATGCACAGCATACTGCTGTTGGTTGGACAGGCAGCTCATGCGTACAAGCTGCCAACCGTCAGCTCCCCTGGCAGGTCTCACAATGCGAATCAGAGCAGTGTCAAACTCGGCACTCGGGATATAATTACAGTTTCCATCCATCGCCAGCAGCTATGCAGATGGGCTACCTACAACAGACCAGCCAAAAACGGTGTTCTGTAAGCAGGGTGTCTCTGCCTGTTAACGTTGCATGCACTGGTATCTCCCTGACTTGAAGGGGATACCGCTTAGCACAGTGACAGTTACTAACTGCATGATGTTATCAATGGGGTTGAGATTTCCAACCCTTATTTCTTGTGAGGTACCTTTCTGGGATAAGCTTTAAGAGGATGTGGTAAAGATCTGTCATGGGGCTGGTAATTTGGCAACTGGAGGTCTGTAAGATGAGTGAAAGCAGCTCATCTGGAAGAAAATTAGCATGAATAACTTGTTTAACTTCTCTTTATCTTGGTTTCTGTGTATCTTCTGGTACTTTTGTAAGGCTGTTTCTCAATGTTTACAAAGCAATCAGAGATTCTTTGAAGGAAACCACTGCAGGTGTGCAAAGTATTGCTATGCTTTTAGAACCTAAAATGCAGTGTCTTTTGATGGTATGCCACATGGTACACGCACACATATGCTGTTTCTCACAGATTACAAGCCTTTCTGCCCACCCCTCCAGTCAGAGCTCTGGGAACTCACCACCACTCGGTAGCCTTGAGCTTTCTTCTGTTGTCTTTGCAGGCGAGAAGGATGTCTTTGTATGCATGCCCACAGGGGCAGGGAAATCCTTGTGCTACCAGCTTCCTGCAGTTCTGGCAGTGGGCATCACCATTGTCATTTCACCTCTGATTGCACTGATTCAGGTAACTGTCTCCTGTTAGCTGTGGAAAAGCAGTCAGTGAAGGGGGTCGGGAGACTCTGGAGGCACAGCTGCCTCTTGTCTTTCTGTCCACAAGTCTCTGCTGTTGGCCGGCCTCTGGATTCTCTTGATGTCTCAGCGTGTTTTCCTTACCCTGGTGATAGGTGAAGAGACTGCAACTTAGCTGCAGCGCAGAGTAACTGTGATATGATACCAGGCAGTTCTCTGAAAGGATGTTTTTCTTCTTTTAATAATAACCTGGTAGTTTTTATAACTGAGCCTTTCTCCATTTTCTCCAGTTGTCTTTTACCTCCGGTGTGCTATACAGAAGCAGCAAAGCAGAATACCTCAAATGGAGCAAGCCGGATCTTTCCCCAGAAGAAAACTGCTATTTTACCTATAAAGTGATAGCTCCAGGAATGATGAAGTTGCCTTTGAAGGCATAATTTGTTCTGCATCAAAATGTCTTTTAGTTGCGGTCAGTCTTTCTGTCATGGGAAGAAGCTGGTTTAGCAGAGCTGCTCGTTGAGCACTTGTATCTGTGAGACTTTTTTTTTTTCCCCCTATTTTGCCTTTTCTACTGTTTCATCACCTGTTGGGAGAAACACTTCCCTGTAAGAGCAGCTGTAGCATTGCTTAGACTTCTGTAAAGTATCTGATTAGCATTGCATGATATCTGGTGTTGTAGGCTGCTGGTTTGGGTTTTGTTGTTTGTGGAGTGTTTTAACTCCTTTACAGTCTCAATGTAATACACATTAAGAGCAGACTTGGTGATACATCTCAGAAAGGAGTTATAAATAGTGAATTTGTTCCAAGTGCAAGGATTTCTGATTAAGCTCCAGCACAGGCAATATTTTATCAGTGAAATGGAGGTTAAAAAAAATTACCATTGGTAAGATTTGCAGGTGAAGCAGAATGTGTCAGAGTGACAAATAGGTTGAGATGGGCTCAGTGAGTCTTAGGGAGCAGAGCTGGAGTGAACCTTCAGAGGTCTCCTCATCAAGCCCTGAGAAGATGGGGTGGCTATGCCTGAAATGATCATAATGTATTTCAGTGTAGCCAAACTTCAAGAGCTTAGTATGTGTAGTTTATTATAGGGAAGGCTGAGAGCTGACTTTGTGAACAGAAAACAGTGGATATTAAATCAATCACTGAAACCAGTTATTGAGTGAAATAATGAGATACCTGTTTTTCAGGACTATTCATATCTTCTGAAATGTTATGTGCTAGTCAAATGGAAGTGAACAGCTCAGTGCAGTGATAGGGAGGTGAATTTGTATGCCCAGTGTTCATCTGGATGTGATGCCGTGTTTTCTCCTTGGTTTTCATGGCATGATTCTCATCCAGACTTGGTTGTGTTGCAGTGGTGATTTGCATGATCCTTGTATTTCATCCTGTCTCAGCTGTGTTTATAACATCATTTAGTTATTTTGGAATGAAATGCACTCTGTTATTATAGGGTGGTGGTATTAATTTCCATCTGTGACAACTTGATGTAGCGTAAATACTGAGATGTGTTGGTGGCTTGTTTCAGCTCACTGTGGCTATGATGAGTTATTTTGCACAGATCCCTGATGGTGTTCCCTAGCAGAAAAAGATTCTCTTAAAGTGATTGAATGCACAAAAATGCAGTTGGATGTAAGAGCTGGACAGATATACTCACAGCTGAAGATAAAGGCATCTTGAGTTGAAGTTCTAAATACCCAGACTGTAGGTCTATGTTGTCCTGAGCCTCGATCCTGGAGGTGGAAGTTGGGGCCTCACCTGGATCTCGCTAGTAGTCTTTCTTGGTGATGGTGACTTTCTTTATTTCCATTTGATTTATATTTAATTTTAATTGTATTTACACTAGGATCAAGTGGATCACTTGCTGGCTCTGAAGATCAAAGCCTGCTCTCTGAACTCCAAGCTTTCTGCCCAGGAAAAGAAGACCATCCTGGCTGACTTAGCAAGTGAGAAGCCCCAAGTAAAGCTCCTGTACATCACCCCAGAGATGGCAGCTGCCTCTTCCTTCCAGCCTACGTTGAACTCTCTGGTGTCCCGAAACCTCTTGTCCTACCTGATAATCGATGAAGCGCACTGCGTTTCCCAGTGGGGACACGATTTCCGACCTGACTATCTACGGCTGGGCACCTTGCGCACTCGCATACCCAATACGCCATGCGTTGCCTTGACTGCCACTGCCACCAAGCAGGTCCAGGAGGACATTGTGGCAGCGCTCAAGCTAAAGCAGCCGTTTTCCACATTTAAGACTCCTTGCTTCAGATCTAACTTGTTCTATGATGTGCAGTTCAAGGAGCTCTTGACTGATCCATACGCCAACTTGAAGGATTTCTGTCTGAAGGCGCTTGAAGTGAAGAACACCACTGGGGTAGGTTTTATGTTTAGAGAAGAAGGCTATACTGAACAAAAATCTACCTTAATGGTCACTGACGTTCCAGTGGTTGGTGTGGCCCTGGCAGGTCTGCAGCACAGAAGGAGGAGGTCCCTCGAAGGAAAGTGCACACATACATTTTCTAGTTCCTCTAAAAGTGTTCACATATGTTTTTTAGTTCCTCTAAAATAGTTAGAATGTGAAGGCTCTGTTCCTTTCAGAGGTGTCCTTAGAAAGGGGTTGGTCTAAAAGCACATGGATTAGGAATATACAACTAACATTTCTGTTTTGGTTTCTCATATCCCTGGTGATCGTTGTATGTTTGTGTTCTGCTGTTCTAGTGTGGTGAGGATGAGCAGAAGCATTTGAAGTGTTGTGTTTCATTTCCTGCTTTAACACTAATTCCCACAATAACTCTGAGCAACTCAGTTCTAGCCTCTGCACCTGAGTTTACTTGTACAGCAGAGGGAGACTGCTTCTTGCCTAGCATCTACTGGGGGACTGTATTTGGTTGATGTTGGGCCTTGTAGGACTTGTAAGGAAACTGTCTTTATGTCTGATTTACTTTTGTGCTGCAACAGTATCTTTCAGTTGCCAGGGAATGGACTGGTGGAAGAGGTGAGCCTTAGGCATCCTTCCTGTCTCCACCATAGTAATGACTGCAGCTTTATCGATGGGCTTCAGAGAGTGTCATGGACTTTCTCTCCTGTCTGCCCAGGTGTACTCCGGTTGTGGCATTGTGTACTGCAGGATGAGGGACGTGTGTGACCAGCTGGCTATCGAATTGAGTTATCGAGGAGTGAAAGCCAAGGCGTATCATGCAGGTACTGGAAGCTGCATCTGCATCTCTCAGTAGCTGGTAGAACTGAACTCTGTACCACCTTTAAGGCCTGGGTTGGGGCTACCTAGAAAAGAGCTTTCTAGGCATGGTCTGCAATGTGTCTGATGCTCACGTGTCATGTCTGTGAGGTAAGTGCAGGACCTTCGACAGAATGGCATTCCCTTCACTCCAGAACTGATAGTTTTGTTGGATCTTGCATGGTCTAAATGTAACAACTGTTTTTATCCCAGGAGGGAACTGAATTTTTCACTTTGGAATAGAAACAGCTGCTGCTGACTTCTGCTTGATCACAGGCCAATTTAAATATGGGCAGAGGGGAGTGTGTACATCAGGCAGTTTTAGTGAGGGGGTTGGTTTGCAATGGGGGAACAGAGGAGGAAGAAAATCCTCTTGTTTCTTTTCTGGTTTTCTTTTCTTTTTTTGTTTTTTTGTTGTTTCCTTCCCTCTCTTTCCCAAAAGACTCAAGGCAGCTGACAGGACTTCAATCCAGAATGAATGGATGGAGGAGAAGATCCCCGTTATTGTTGCAACTATCAGTTTTGGAATGGGAGTAGACAAAGCAAATGTCAGGTGTGTGAGGCTGTGTTGTGCACCACCTGAGACTGAAACCTGAGCAGTGGGAAGGGAAAGCCTCAGTCTCTCTGTTACCTGCTACATCTGACTCAAATGCCTGATGAACACTTGCTAAAACTGACAAAAACCGGGCTGGAGGGTTTTTATCTTAGAAGCAGCAAAAACAAACTTGGAAGGGTTTTGTAAAGAAATTGAAAAAAAAACAATGCACCAGAGCTCCTCTTTGCCAGTCATCTTCAAAACCAAGAAAATTGGAGGAATGCTTTTTTTTTGCCACACCCTCCAGGGTTTCGAAAAGAATCTTCTCAATGCAATCACAGCTGTCCTTCGCACTTCTCTTAGTGCAATAGTTGCTGTTAAAAAGCAGTGGGAAGAAAATCTGCACCTAAAATAATTCATATACCCTCTACTAAAATAGTCAGGGAAAGTCTTTTTATAGAGATCTCCTTTTGCAATGCAATGGGGCGGAGGGGGGAATAGCAGCTCACAAATGGCAATAACTATATAACAAATACAGCTCTGGTCCAAGAAACTTTGCACATGGTTTCAATTGCTGTTCCTCTGGGACTTCTGTCACTGTAATTGCTCTGTGTTGTTAGAATTCCTACACTGCACATAGCTGTGCTGGGTTAGTACTGTGAGCTGTGATCACTCAGTAGAGGGCTAGCTCAGGTGCAGTTCACACAACAGCCCATGCAGACCTGATCTTTACTCTAAAATCCACATAAAGCAATTGCTCTGAACGCTGTGGGAGAGGGGCAGGACATCCTTGAGACAATCACATCAGTTCACAACTGTGCCATCCTTCTGTCTGTCACTGTGCTGCCAGATAACAGGATCCCATAGCAGTGACAGACTATTTTCACTGCTTGATGCGTGTTACCCAACAGAGAAATGAGAAGTCTCCTAGGATAGCGGCATGAATGAATGACCCGCTGAAGCTACTCTGCCCTGTTCAGTACAGTGGTCATTAAAAAAGGCAAGGAGTAACTGAAGTGCATAGGGGTAATTGAGAGTGAAATGTAGCTGAAACATGCTTGTAATCTGGTTAATTTCCAAGGAATGGAGTTAAAATGACTCTTTACAGGATGTTTTTTAATAGTTTAAAGGACATTATACCCAAGCCTAGGCAACAAGGCACTGCTGCTTAGCCTTCACTCTGTGTTGGCAGAGTTGTGAGTATTCATGTATGTTATCAAGTAAGATCAGGTCTGACAACTTCTGGAGCTGAATCTTGTGGAGAAAAGGGAGAACAGAGTTGTTGTCTCTTTCTGATGGAATCTGCTCCTCTCTTTTCACTGCTAATTCACTTGTGCTTGAGATTTTAGCAATTCCTGCAGTAAGCTTCCTGATGGGGATTAAATGCATAGGGCTCTGATGCTTCCTGCCTGGCCTGTTCCTGGAATGTTTGTGTTTGAAGAAGCATGTTTGCTTGCTTTTGTCATTTAATCTTTTGCTACACCCATATACATCGTACCTGCCTGTGGGACATGCTGGTTTTGAGGCAGACTGGTATTTAAAACATTCGCAGTGTTACTGTAGTGTAAAATCCTCTCAACACAGATATAAGCTGAATTGCTGAATAGTCAGGTACAAGCAGGTTTAAAGCAGTCTTGCAGTGGTGTGTTGAAAACCTTCCTTCAGAAGGTTACATAAAATTCGGTAATGATTCTGTTGTCTATTTGCTGGCTAGGAAAGATGCCTTCAGCTATAAGTGAGTTTGGTGAGACACAATTTCCCATGCAGACTTTGTTGGCAAGGAAGTGTCTTTTTAAAATTGAGTATTTCAGAATGGGTTCTGTAATGTTCAAATTGTGTTCCACAAAATAAATAGGACTTTTTTATTCATGCTGTGTTTTATGGTAAAATCTCCCAAACTCCTTAAGTCAATGTTCTTATTCTCAGTCATCATAGCTGTACAATTGTGTGCACGTTTGAGATACTCGCATGCTTATTCTTTTCCGTCCCTTTGGAGTGACATCTTGTTCACATGCTGTTCAGGTGCATTTGTTTTCTTACAGCTCTGCTGCTTTCCTTGTGTCTCACGTGTTAAGAGGACTTAAATTTCTGTGTGCAAAATCCCTTGCTCTGCTAAATCCTCTGTCTTTTATTCTTTTGCTGCCCTATTTTTTACTGTTGTTGATGTCCACAAACACCACAATCATGTATGCAGTGATCTGAGAAACCTGCAGCCTTATGTTTCCTGTTGTCTTATCACAAGCAGATTTGTTGCCCATTGGAATATTGCTAAGTCAATGGCTGGATATTACCAAGAGTCTGGCAGAGCTGGGAGAGATGGGAAGCCATCCTGCTGTCGCCTCTATTACTCAAGGAATGACCGGGATCAAGTCAGCTTCCTGATTAAGAAGGAGCTCTCTAACATCCAGGTAATATCTGTGGAATAGTATCCACCTGTCTAGATATGCTGCCTTTGCTCTGATCCGGTTTGCCTGCAGTAACCTCTGAATAAGCAAAGATGAAATGAGTTTTTCTGGGTCTAGAGCTGTCTGTAGCCCTGTTTCAAGGGACAGCAGAAGGGACACCCTCTGGCTGCCAGACCCAGCTCCAGCTCTATTAGAGGAGCATGGGTGAGCAGAAGTCTGGAGCAGAGACAGGGTGGTGTCTCTACCTGTTTGCCATATTGATCAGAAGGGTTGGATTTGGTCATCACTAGAGTTACCTTATCTGTTTATATTTAAATTGAAGACTATAGTTATTGTCCCCGTCTACTTTCAGGAAAAAAAAGGCACCTTAAAAGAATCTGACAAAGCTGCGATGACAGCTTTTGATGCCATTGTGAACTTCTGCGAGGAGCTGGGGTGAGTGTGCTTCTTTCAAACACTATTTAATGTTGGGGAAACCATGCCCTATCCCTTCCAAGGCACTGTTATGGCTGAGATCTTGCATGTCCAGGAAAAATACTGAATGAATCGCCTGATATTTTGCTGTCTCATGTCTGAGGAAGGTGTCCCTGAGACATCTCTCACTCACTCCCACCTCTGAGTTAACCAAGATGTTGGTCTTGGAGCCTGACCCAGTGACATAGTGATGTTAAACTATAACTCCTCTGGCTATGAATTTTACTATGTTCTGTCTTTGATGATGGGCTGACTTAGTTGCATTTGCTTTTGTTTTGACTCTTTCCTCCTTCGCTACATCATCTCTCTTCTAAGGAGACAAACAGACAACCTAATCAGCATGGGATGGAAGCATTTAGATTTAATGTTTCTGTAAATCTCAGGGGCTCTGCTCTGCAAAGTCCTAGGTATCTGTGATTCTCATTGACCTTAGAAGGAGCTGATGGTGCTTAGAATGTTTCAGAAACAGACCCAAATTATGGATATGCCCCGTCTAAATGCAGACTAGCAACTGAAATGTGCATTGTTCAGGTTTAGTTCATGACTTGTAAGCTGTAATTGTACTAATTGCTATTCTATGCTGGATAAGACACCAAAGCTATAATTTTGCCAGTAAGAGAGCAGTGTGTGTTCACTAACTGAAAATGGTCAACATGTGTCTTGCTTTAAAGCCTGCATTTTGTTTCATTTTTCACACCTGTGTCTACAGCAATTTTTTCAGTATGAATGCAACACGTGCTTCTTTTCTGATGCCTTGGTGAGTGTGTTCTCTCCTTGTGGTCATGTTTGGTAAACAAATCCTGGTTTTACGGGTACTCTGGGAAAGTCTTGCTTGTACTGAAATATGGCACAATGTTGAGTCCTAGGGCACTTGAAGGAGCACTCCTTTGCCCAAAGTCAAGGTGATTCTGGGAAGTAGCTACTCGGAGGCTTCTTGTTATAAGAGTTTGATCCACTTACTTGGCTAAGCAGCTCTGCTGCTTCTGGTGTGTGTTGCCAGCTCACAGCAAGAGTGGCCAGATAGCTGTTTGTGTCTGGGTTTTGTATAATCTGAGAGGCAGCTGTATCTACCTGGTTAGATGCTAACCTCAGGAGACCTTGTCTTGGTATCTCTTTCTCCTTGATTCCTAAGCTGGTTATCAGTAGAGTTAGTCATGACAGTCATTTCTTGGAATGGACACTAGTGCCATAAGAACTGGTCTGGGATCACTGAACTAACCTCGTGCAAGCCACAAGCGGCCATGGGAATCACATCTCCCATACTTTTTCTTCCCTCCTCCAGCTTGGTACATTCTTCCTACTGTATAACGTGCCGTATGCATTCCAGAGCCACATGTTGCAGCACCACTGCCTGGCTTCCCTGCTCATAACTGTACAGGAGACTAAGATGCTATGTAAAGGAATATCATGTTGCATTTCTTTTTTACATTTTGAATTAATACTTGAAATAATAATAAGTTTTATTCACTGTCCAAACAGTAAAAGCAAACCTGAAACTCTGACCTTGCAAGGTTCTAAATAAGAACAAATAAAGAAAGACTTGTATACTGGCAAGCAAGGTTTTGCATAGTATATTTAGGCTATTGTCCGAGTATGACAGGAGAACAATGGTATGAGCTGCTTTTATAGAGTGGGTTCAGACAAAGCTTTTGCTGGTCAGAGTTTCCTGTTGCCCATTTGCAAGATGGAAAAAACCCGCATGTAACTGCAGCAGCAGAAGACATCTTTATCAGTTTTAGGTGGTGGCTAACCATTTGCCACCTCTAAACAGTGGTTTTACTTGAAAGATGAAAATCAGGCAGAGATGAGTTGACTTTGGTATTTGGCTAGTTGTGCAGTTCCTGAATACAGATAGCCTTACGTATGGAGCTCGCTGTGGATTTGTGGAACAACTTGCTGGCATTGGTGCATTGTTCTTGATGCAGGAAAGTTGCATGGGGAGAAATAACCACCCAGGGAGAGAAGCTGAGAAAGCTTTCTATGAACAACACAATCAGGTTGTAGCTGGGCTGATTCTTGCTTAGCTGTAGTGCTCCAAGTACTGCATCTCAGCTTCGCTGTTTATGTGCCACTCTGTGCCTTGGAGATGAGCAGCACCCAAAGATGGCAGCAAATAAAAGGAGAGCAACAAAAACAAGACAGAAGGTGCCAATCACCACTAGCCCTCCAAGAGCCCAGTCGCTTGTTGCAATCAGTCTCTTTAGGTCTTCCAGAACTGAGGATGCCTCTTGCACTGACATGTTGGCTTCCACCCTGCTGGAGGCAGACAAGAACGGTATCAAATATTGGAGTATCCTCTCTATGCTCTGAGCCACAGTCCCAAAACCAGTATAGGCATGCATGCTGTCTGTGTCTGCAGGCATCCCCCTTCCAAAAGGGAGAGTCACCCTTCACAGAAATGGGAGCATAAATGAGAAGAAAGATAGCTGAGGCCAGTTTCACAATCAGATCTATAGAGATGTAAAGAGGAAAGCTTCTGGCTTTACAAGATTTTGGCAGTTGAGGTTTATTTTAATCATAGTTTATCAATACTTCTAATAATATGATGTCTTTCCCAGTATGTTCAGTGTGAACACTTCATCTCTGTCAGCTGTACAACCTGTACACGAAAGACAAGTATTCAGTGGGAGAACTTGCTTGATACCATTGGAAAGATCTCTAAAAGGGAGTTGGGGACTTAAACTCTGAGAACACACTGGAGATTAAATGAACACTTATTTAAAAACAAAGAAACAAAAACCCCGCCAACAATAAGAGAAGATCTTCATGTACAACTTGTTGCTCCCATAGGGCTTAGAATAGTCTAGTTATGTAAAAAAGGTCTCCTGTTAATGGAGTTTGCTTTAGTAACACTCTTTGTTACTCTGCAATAGAAGCGTAAGTTTTCCTCCCATGAAGTACTTAGATCCAGCAATAATTTAAACTGGGATCTCAGTGGGTTGTACACACTTGCTCTTTCACTGGTGCTTTGCATAATGACTTGGCTGTCAGCTTTCTAAAGAACATCCTGCATCTCTTTGCAAGCATCTTGTGGTTTTACTAAAGCTTCCTTGCTTCTCAAGGGAAAGGATGGATTATTTCTCACACTTTCTAACAAATATGACTGTGCAGGTGTAATACAGGAAGATATCTTCGTTATTTTTGAAAGTTGTTTCACTTGCTGCCCCTTTTTGTCTGTATCCTTAATACTGTAAGGAAGATGATTAGTCAGGTAAAGCATGTTTCATCCTGAGCAAGTTACATTTGACTAGGAGCACAAGCTCACACTTCAGTTTGCTGAAGTGTTTGTTTCTTTCTCAGCAGCCAAATATATTCAGTTCATGCTTTGTTTTCTGGAATGATGGCAGATCACCATGCCCAGTCTCTAACCAGCAGGCACGCAGGACATGAAGGCAGTTCTGGATAGCTTCCTTTGCCTTTCAAAAGGAGGCAGCCAAGATACTAGGTCTGTAGACCCAAAGGCAGAAACCCTGTGTGACTGTACAGCCTAGACAGTTCCCATTTCTCTTGCTAACCGCAGTTAATCTCCTGAAATAGAGAGCTGTATACAGTTTTATAAATACCTGAAGCCTGGTGTGTTTGTAGTAGGTGTTTCTTCTGGCACGTCCTCTGCACCCCTTCCAAGGCCTGTGGTGAGAGACCCCCTTACTGCACCTGGAGCCTTGCGGAGCTAGCATGGAAGCTGCCTGTTTGTACTGCAGTAAATAATTAACAGTTGACTTTCCTGCAAGGTGTGGCTAATCTAATCAAAGGCCTTGAGCCTAGTTACTAACACCTAGTTCAGCTGTCAGTCAGGCATTTTTTCCTCTGCATGGCTTTATCCACTCATGCACCTGTTCCAGTGCTTGTAAAGGCCCACTATGTCCTCTGACTGGGAAAGGCTGCAGGTTGTGGCGGAGAGAAGAGGTTTTTGTTTCCTGGATCCTGACTGGATCTGTATTGTAAGCTCTTTTAGGAGACTGCCATATCTAAAATGAGACTGTGAACAAGACTGTCCTCCAGTCCAAAATTTGTGACTTTTTAGGTGAATAAACTCATTGCACAGCCTTGTACTGGTGTTAGCTGCAATAAAACTGACTCACTGTTGCTTTCTTAACTGAAGAAGACCAGAAGGATGGTGCTGGAGAGAGGTGGGAGGGGAGAAGGAGGAGCGTGTGGTGTGTGAGACTGTGTGTGTAGAGGAAACTTGCTTTTCAGAAGCCAAGCAAATCACTTTGAAACCAGAGGGATGATGTTACAGAATAGAAGTTATTCCATTAAGTCCTCAGTAGAACTTCAGCCACTTTTGCTGGAGAGGTTGGCCTCACTGTATCTTTTAGATTCCTCAGGGAAAGAAACTATTTCAACACTTACATCATCAGGAGTGAAGTAGCTGTATTCCCTTGCAGTTCCTTCTGGGCTCACTCAGGCTTTCACAACATGTACAGAAGTTGCTGTGTTTGAAGCAGTCTTGACTTAGTCTGTGCTCTTCTGAATCTCCCTCTGCTTTTTGAAACAGAGGGGATCCATCCTCACTAGGGCTTAGGGCATTCCAGGTCCCTTTATGTGGGTAATGATTGAAGCCAAAAACACAAAGGCTTGTGTTGAGTGGTAAGCAAGGACCCAGAGACTGGCATGTTTCTAGTCAACAGAAACTGAAGAGCTGCCATAAGCAGGGGATTTGCTGGGCATCTTTCAGGCCAGCCTGATCTCTTGCGTGCAAGAAGGCAGCAGACCCCACCCAGCCCAGGCAAGCAATTGGGATATCTAAATACCAAGTATAGGAATAGTCCAGCTGAGTACAATGGTACAAAATGGTACACAGCGGAACATTAGGCCTGTGAGGTCTAGGCAACTATGTAGAAATCGGTCCAGGGACCACCCCCTCCTCCACATGGTGGCTGCTCCTCTGCTCCAGAAAGCCAACTGAATTCTTTAGAGAATTGCTTAATTTTCTCTCCTTCTCTTTTTTTAACAGTGCTGGTT